ACAATGGCAATGGCACCCAACCGTGAACCTGCGACGGCCATTTCATGGTGTATCCACTAGGTATGGCCATTGGACGCAGCTACCACACTATTTCTTATAATTTTTTACTTTTATATTCTTGTATTCCTTCTCACTACCACACAATTTCCTTGATACAAAAGCCCAACTGCACATCACAGCAACAAACAATTACCATCCCCCCGTGGAGATGTGCAACCGGCACAATAAACTACAGCGCTAGCACTACGTCATGGCTGCTGGTGTACAAAACTTGCAATGCAGATGTGAGTCCTCGGAACACAGGTGGCACACCTAACCACTGACGCCCCTCTTCAAAATACTCGATGTGGGTACTGCTCAAAGTACAGTCCTGCGCTGATGCCAGTCGTCAAACAATGATGATCAATTCCAGCTGGGTCCACCATACACAAGCCTTGGGACCAAGCCATAAAACTACCAACAGCTTCATTGATACAAACATCTCCCCGGCCAAACATGGAACTGGCGCATTCACGAGACGTGAAACCCTCGGCTATCTGTCAGGCGCATGTTTGCTGTGGGGAGTTTCCAACAAGTATACACAAGTACCTCCGGTTCACAGGGAACACGCATTCAATCTATGGTCGGTCGTCTTGCTCGTACACCGAGGGCAATTTCAGCCGGTTTGCAGTACTCCCTATCCTCTGGAGAGTCGACTGGACCTGCTGAAGGGTGGGTTGCGCTTGCTCCCGGGCACTGGAGGAAGCCTCAGACTTGTTCTTGCTGGGGTGGAAAATCCTGGTCACCGAATGATGCACATGCACACAACTGTTGGAGTCATCTGCAAGGATTTGATCTTAGCTGACATGACGTCCTTGACCAATCTGCTGGTCGCGGAGGTGTCGGTGACGGCTTGTGACTCCCGCGTTGGCCCCAAATACGCAATCTCGGGACGCACTATCCGGTGTTCGCACATGTATATTTGGCAGCGGCAATGAAGGGCACGTTGTCAGACAATGTGTCGCTCCTTTGGCCGGTTGCAACACGGGCACTCTTGGGGTCCGTGTACGTGGAAGTACAAAGGCGCGACATGATGCACTGCATTGAACAATGTTTGCATCCGGGAACTGGCAGACGATCAGAACCGGTTGTTCATAACCTGTTGGAGCAAGCTGGGCGACCACTTCCAGAAGAAATTGCAGAAGCAGTTCAGGGAAGACACTATTTGATTTTTGGTACGCTCAGCTTCAAATTGACTTAAACCCACCCCCCTGCCTCCCCTTTCGTACGGGCCCCCCGAGTGCATGTTTTCTTGCCTGTGACTTGCTTGTGTTGTGTGCTCATCTTTGCATCGGAGGCTCTCTATCATCTTTTCACCTTATGGAAAAATTTACGCGCACTGGAGGTTGTGACCTGTTTAAACTCTTTTACGTTCTCCCGCATTTCCAGTTAAGTGGGGTCGGCTGGAGGACCACCCCACCCCACCCCTAACGTCATTTGATGTACCAAAATCAAAATAGTGTCTTCCCTTAGGATGGAGGCATTTCATGCCCTACATCCGCAGGCAGGTGACAGACAATGGATGGAAGCAAGTTGGCGTTACTGCATTGCTGGACGGGCATTGCCATACTGGCATTGCTGCAATGGCATCGGTTCATTTTGCAAACAGACATCAATTCCAGCCAGTCAGAGCGTTTGTGTTGGAGACATTGCACTGCATATCAAGGCATTTCGTTCTGAAGATGGACCAGCTCCACAGCATCAGGAATGAAAGTGAGTTGACCGCAAATCACCAACACACACAGAGCATCACCCAGGAGCTTCAAGAGAAAGTTCGCTTGCATATGGCTGAACACACACAAGAAGGCCAGCAAGAGTCCTGTGGCAATGCTTTCAAGAACGTGTCAAACAAATGGCAGTGATTTACGGTTCAGCCGACATGCATGTGCCCGACATGCCCGACATACATATGTGTGTGACACTTCCCTTCAGGCCCCGTGTCCCACCTGTTCATCAATTCATTCGCATCTTGAGCGATCTGCGAGTCGGGCATTATCACCCGGTATCTGCCCTTGAGCCCCGTCTCTGTGCCCGTGATGGAGTCAGCTTCGATAATGATTTCGTTTCCCACAATCGCCTCTCCACCATCAAAGATCACCTTTCGCTTGTCATCTACACTGTAAAACTCGATTGCAATGTCGATGATGAAGGAGGTGGCCACGTTTAGGCAGAGCAGCACGCCAAGGAAGTGGAATGCCACGAAGAAGATGCGGAACCAGGGGCTGGTGACGGCCACAAAACCGCTGACCAAGGTGTCCCAGTTGTTGACCACAAGGAACATGAACAGGGTCACCATTCCCGACAGCATGTCGTTGAAGTTGACAGCCACAAAATCGTACTCCTTGGCTGGGTGGGCAAAGCCATGAGCCTTGTTCTCCAGTTCTGCCCTGTACGGACTGTTGGGGTCCCTGTTGATCTTGCCACCGAAGATCTCCACCCCAAGTGCTGAGAACAGGAATATGATGACAAACAAAACTTTCAGCAGTCTGGTTGCGGGGCCCAGCATCTTCACAAACGTGGTGCCTATCACCCTGAAGCTCCTCCACCTCACCAGGAACCTCACCACCCGGAGGATCCTACACGCTTGGAGCCAGCGGATGAGCTTTGCATTGCTGTAGGCACCAGGGAGGTACACATAAAGGCTTGCCACCACGGTGGCCACAGTGACGACGAAGTCGAATTTGTTGCTGAATTTCCTCCAGTAAGTGGCCCAGCCGTTCACATACACCTTTGCCACCACCTCAAGCACGAACAACAAGGAGAAGCAGGTCTCCATGATGTCAGACATTACCGAGAGGTACGTCATGTTCTCAGTGTTCCACCCCACAGTCTGTGCACTCTCCATGGCAAACAGGACAGCATTCATGAGGAGCAGCCCATCGATGATGTACTCAAAAAGTTTGCCATTTATAAAGCTGCAGAAACTCCGGAACCATCGTTTCTTAAACATGACCGGGAAGCGAACCTCCAGTGGTACTGCCATCTTCATCTCAACAAACCGTACCTGAACCATGAAAAAGTACAGTTGATGAAGTGGTTGGTTGCACGGATACTATGCATTGGCCACAGATTCAGTCACAACCTTTGAACACAGCACATTGTTCTCCATGATATGCAATCTGATGGTCCACAGTCCTGGCCACATGAGCAAGCAATAGTGCCAGGGCACCTGTGCCCTAAGCTTAGATCACAGGGGTGCAATCACAACAACATATGCATATGACATCAGTCAGAACCCACCCCAAACAACTGCCTACTGCATCGAAACTTGAAGGTCCACCTCGACCTCATCCACATTTTCATTTTCCAGACGCCTACACCTGTGCCAGTCCGGAACCTAATGTGTGTTTTTGGCAACAGAACTGAAACCTTACACCTACCTGCAGGACATCACAGACGGACATGAATTCCTCCTCAGTCACAGCCTTGTTTCCATCCGCATCTACAGCCGCAAAGAGAAGTCTTGCACGGTCCTCAGCAATGTAGTCAATTTCTGTGGCCCTGTTGAGCTCCTTGAACATCTCCATCATCTTCTCTGCTGAAAGGCTGCCCGAGCCCTCGTCCAGCAGTGCAAACGCCTGTCTTAGGCTCTCTTCCCGCTGTGCCAGCCGCTTGGCTGAATTATTTTCACGGCTGTTGTTGTACTCCTTGTAGATAATGGCGGTGATCATGTTCAGCCCAAAAAAGTAGGCCAACAGAAGGAAGAGCATGTAGTACAGGATGGCTAAGCGGTTGGCAGTGTAGGCAGGCATGATCATGTTTGGGCTGTTATTTGTCGTTGTCAGGACGATCAGAGTCCACATACCTTCCAACAAGCTTGAAAAGTACAGGTTCTCCTCTATGTCCATATCCCCCTCGTCCGTGTCGCCAGTGAACAGAATGCAGCCGCACCATGCAAACAGCAGTAGGAACACCGCAAAGAGGACAGAGATGGAGCCAAAGGCAGGAAGAATCCTGGAGAGTGCACGAGCCAATCAACCACACCAGCACCAAGAATTAATCGTCCTGAAAGAAAAGAACACATAACGCACAATGTATACTCCTGATTCCAGCAAAAATTGTGTGGGACCATACATTATTACCGTTCGAAGGCGATGCAGGCCAAAGCGAAGGGGCCTTTGGCAATGATTCGGTGCGGGATGGCATGGCTTCGCACTGAGTTTCTTGCGGCCCTCTAAGTGTGCCGTTGGCGTTCCTTCGTTCCCCAGAAGGGTCCGATACGCTTGTGGGCACATCCGCGAGCACTCATAACCCCCCTGAACGGAGGGACGACGACCAGCACTGCCTCAGGGTCATCAGGGGAGAAACAAGCGCGCCTCGGGGTGGATCCTCACCTCCACATCACCTCGAACTGGCCGTGAATCTCCTTGTGCCGGACGGTGAGGAGCAGCACCCGGATGAAGGGCGCCAGGCGGGTCCACGAGTACGGCGTGGTGTATGCGTAGATGACGTCCGCCACCGCCAGCACCATCAGCCCCACGAACATCTTGTTCAGCAGGCCGGCAAACGTGCCTCTGCCGAAGGCCAAGTACTGCACGACCAGCTGCCCGCACAGCAGCGCAAGGAACACCAGCTCGATGGCCAGGTCGGCCCACCGGTTCAGGAAGGGGGCATTGAACGTTGGGTACAGCTCGTCCGTGCACATGTCCAGTGAGCGCAGCTTGGCGGAGTGTATGCACCACTGCGGCCGCTCGAAGAAGGTGAGCAAGACGTAGCACCAAAGGACGAGGACCATGGGGTCCCGCACCTTCGATGCCACATGGTACCAGCGCTGGCCCTGGGGCGTCTCCAGGGGGTGTACCCGGCTCACGCCGAAGAAAGCGTCCTCCACGAACCGGCTGGCTCTCCGCACGTTGGGCGCCGCACTCCCCAGGCGCACCGAGATGCCCGCCATTGCGGCCAGGCCGTCGTCAATCCTCCCCTTGTCCCCGTTCGCCCTTTCCTCAACCCCATCTTCCCCGGCGCCATCGCCGCCCATCAGCGGCTGCCTGATGGGATCCTGTTTCCCATCCCCCTTGGGGTTCACCATGCCCACCCTCGCGCCAAGTGACGACCCGCGGCACCGCCCCGATTGCGCTCCCGGGATTGGCGCGGCCGTCAAGGTGGTATTGGGGCGGTCGGAGGGGATGCCGCCGGGCGGTGCTGTCCCGGGCGCCGCTCCGGTCTCGTTCCGAAACACGCTTCCGGTAGGGTTTTGGCCCCGGCGGACGTCTCGGGGCGGCGGGGCTCACAGCAGGCCGGTGGCGGCAATACCCAGGGAGGGGAGGGCGGGTGCCTCAAGTGCCGAGAGAAGCTGATGCCAAGACTGGCAGCCTGTTGGGTTGAATTCGTCAGTTGGGGTGTCACATGCATATGACACCAATTGATGCTGCGAAGTGTGACCGTGGGAACGATGCATGGAACCAGGTCGCCCAATGTTGGGCATTGAAGCTGGCCACAGGTCCATGCCCGGGGACGATGGCAGATCGTGCTCTGTGGAGCGAACATGGGCAGGCCAGACTGGCGGAGTAAGAAATCGATGACAGTGCCGCGCCATTGAAGGGTGTCAATTGTCTTCATTCTTGTAACCACTGCCGCTGAATGATAGTTATCGAGGAACACAGCAGTTTCCTGCACCGCTGGAAGTTATCGGAACAAATGGATAAGGAGTTCCACCCTAAAATCCAGCAATAAACTACAGCTTGGGGCATTCACGAACCAGGTGGTTACACCATCGTTCCAAGACCGAATGTGGTCGTTACGCATCTTTCCTCAGCCCAGCCTGCACAGCAGTTTATAGAGAAAGTTATCGAGCCATCCATTCTCATTCGATCATAGTGTCGCAGCAAGTCGAAGTTGGCCAATCTGGGGGCAAGGGCAGAACCTCTCGGGCTGTCCCAGGGCTGCTGCTGTATGGCGGCGCCTGGGACAACGTCCAGGCGATATTGCTTGATTCACCAATGGCCGTGGCTTCACAGCAAAATCCACAGAAGCGTGATCCACAGAGGGTGTGGAATCGCAGCCAGTGGGACAGGGAAGCCTGCAAATTGATCAAGGGGTGTGCTCTGCCGCGCTGGGGCAGATGCAGCCAGAATGGCCTTTCGCAAGGGCGCAGTGCGCTGACGTTACGCTTGTCTTCTTGGCAACGATCAGGGGGCAGGTGCTGCAACAAGTCTGTCTGAAGAATGTCTCGTACAGTACAACCAGCTGGAACCTCCCTACACTGCTACCAAGTAGAAACTTGAGGGCCCAGTATTCCGCTGAGTGCGGAAAGCACACCATGACACCCACAACGAAGGCGTCCGTCAAGCACAACTAAGAGATACCCATGGCACAGCCATCCTCCATCGAACGAATTATTTTGCACCGACGCTCGCAAAAAAAAACACCCTTCAAGGAACGCCTTCGGACTTGCTTGCCATTCCAGAAGGGCACACTGCATACAAAGTAAAAGCTGAGGCTACCACATGCGCCCAATGCATTTGCTCTCCTGCTGGATGTCAAGCGCTGGAAGCGTGCAGCTCTAATGAGCAGTCTGATTGTTCACACGGTGCAAGAGCATCCGTGAGCGGAGTACACAGGTCAAAAATCGGCAGGGTGGCCTGCAGCGACCCATGTGCCAAAAGAATTTCGCACCATGCCAGCCTATGACCAACACACCACAGCCTGAAGTGCCAGCTGGAACTGTGTTGCCTATCAGGCAACTGTTGCTGCAAACCAACCAATTCGATGGAAGTCCAAAGCCTTCTGCACTTTCCCCACATACCCCTCAACCCCACATGGGCACCAATCCCCGTTTCTTTCATTTGCAAAACCATACGTTGGCCATTTGAAAAACGGCTGCTGTTTCCTTCCAGCACTGTTGCGTGAACTGCGGGTAAGGTTTTATCTCCACCAAGGTAAGGTGGGGCAGGGACCCAACGATGCAGGACCATGCCCTTGTTTACCACTATTCTCCAAGACACTCGTTGCCTTATGCTTCACAGTCCCACACAGCCGTTAAGTAACTGATTCTCCACAAACAAACTGCCCAATATCCTCAAATCCCACCCTATGGTTGTACATCCCGAGCTGCAGCTGGCAAGGGGGGCTTACTCAAACCAGCCGGATCTTGCCCAAGTCCACCAGCAGTGGAATAGCCGTCTGCCCCCATGCCACCAGATGCGGCTGGCCCTTTAGCTGGCTCAATCTCTGCCCTTCCGCCAGCACCCTGGATATTGTCCTCCACCTTCAGGCTCAACTCGGTCTTCAATGCCTCAGAGTGCACCCCACTGGCTTCCTTGCCAGCCTCAGCAAGCAGGCGTGCAGTGTCTGGGGCCGAATACGAGCAAGGAAGGTTGGAAGCATAAGCATCACTCGACGATGCCCCCCCTGAGCCTTCGCCTTCGCGCCTGGAGATATTCTCATCGTAGGGATCAACCACCCCAGACTCTTCATCTGCCATCCTGCTCATACTCTTACTGTGGACTATCCTGTTGAGGTAAGAGCCACAGGAGGTCAACATCAGCACCCAAGTTTGTGAATTATTGCTCAGCCATTGGACACCTTTATCTGTCACTTTTTCATTTTCATGCACCTATTATGAAAAGAAAGCTGATGACTCTTTTCCAAGGCGCTGTTTAAACAGAAACCAGCTGTTCCTTATGACACAAGGACAAGCATTGATGGTTTGGCAGTTTGGGCATCCATCCAATTGAGGATGCACAAGAGTGTGAATAAAACATGCTCCAACATTGCCAACCACAGGTCAAAGCAATGTCGATGTGAATGTGAAGGTGTGCACTTAAGGACAACCAAATGTCTGCCTGCTTCCCATTTGTTGAGACCTCCCCAATCCACCCCATCAAAGCGTGTGAATGTGCCAGTCAGGAAAAAGTAAAGAAAGTCCTGGTAGCACTTGTGACCCTGGTGCTATCAGTGCACTGATAAACGGTCACCAGGAGGTACCCAGCATGTTCAGCTGCACAAAGTCCTTCCAACAATTCAACGAGTATCAAGGGCCAAAAGGTGTATCTCTTGAGGACAGTTCACGCCATGCCAGCTTATCATATTCGGGCAAATATCTATGCTCCAAAGAAAAGGCCCTGCAAAACAGACAGAATCTGGCAATGTTGATCGTTCCCACATCAATGCAGCAAGCCACATTCCCGCCCACCTGTTCATTATCTCTCGGGCGCCCTTTGTCAACTCTCCCTTGTTGGCAACGACAGCACGATACTTTCCTTTTAGGCCAGTCACAGTTCCTGTCACAGTCTCTGCCTCAAACACTGCAGCGTTGGAAGCACCATCTGCTGCCCCAGCCACCGAATCTCCTTCATTGCCAGTCTCTTCATTTTCGCTGTAGAACTCCATGGCGGTATCAATGATAAACGATGTCACGATGTTCAGGCAGAGGTACACACCCAAGAAATGGAATGCAACAAAGTACAGGCGTAGCCACAGACTGGTGACAGACACATAGCCCTCCACCAATACATCCCAGTTATTGGCCACCAGGAACACCAGAAGGGTGGTGTAGCCACCCCACATGTCATTGAAGTTGAGGGATATAAAATCGTAGCGGTCGTCGGGGAATGTGAAATCAGGTGCGTCCTGCTTCAGCATCGTATAGTACTTGCTGTCAGGGTCCCGTGTGAGCCGTCCGCCAAAGATCTGCATCCCCAACGCCGAGAATACAAACATGATGAGGAACAGCACCTTGAGGAGGCGGGCTGCCGGGGCCAGCATCTTCCCAAATGTGGCACAGATCGCCCTGAAGCCTTCCATCCTTGCAAGGAACCTGACTGCCCTCAGGACACGCAGCACCTGGAACCATTTGATGAGGTTGCTGTTGTTGAAGGCATTGGGGTAGTAGACATACAGGCTTGCCAACACAGTGGCCACGGTGATCAGGAAGTCGAACTTGTTGCCTGCGCTGCTCCAATAGCCCCGCCAGCTCTTGGCCATGACCTTCACCACCACTTCACACACAAAGAGGAAGGAGAAGACCTGCTCTATGACATTGGCATATGGGTTACTGCCCTGTGGCAGCCCCTTGAATCCCAGCGGCTGCGACGTTTCCAGTGCCACAAAGATGGCATTCAGCATCAACAGGAAGTCGATTATCCACTCGAAATGTTGGCTGTTCACAAATTTGCAGGCGTCCATGAACCATTCCACCTTGGACCACTGAGGGAATCGGGTCTCCAATGTTCTCAAGGGCTTGACCTCCTCAAAGCGAACCTGTGATGACAGGAAGCTTCTTCAACAAGCAACTAAATTTGCTTTGATAACCTGAAGACAATGATCTGGCCAAAAGCGGCCCTGGCATAAATGCCATATTTCTATTGCTGTTGCCACAGTTTCGATACATTGCATCAGGTATCATACCAATTATCCTGGTGTCTGAGCCCGGATGTCAATTGAATGTTCAGAAATCCATGCACATTTCTAGGACAGGTGAAGCAGCAAAGACACCATTTAACAAGCAGCAAATTATCAGTGTAGGTTGCGAACGAACCCAAAAGAAGAAGGAAATGCGGTTCAGGCACCACAGCCTTCAAAGAGGCAACGCCTGATGCACAGATTTTTAGGCGCAGTCGCCGAAGTACATGGGCCACTTTCACAATCAAACCACCGATGGCCTGATAGTGCAATGTCCCAAGTGCCGTGTAGGTGTTTCACGCAAATGGCATCAGCATAGCAGTAGCCCTCACCCTCAGGACGTCACACAGTGCCATAAACTCAATCTCGTCCAGCATATTGTCGCCATCGCTGTCTGCTGCAGCAAAAAGCAGCTTTGCACTGTCCTCCGCAATGTAGTCCATCTCTGCATTGTTGTTCATGTCCCAGAAGACCTCCATGATTTTCTTGGAATCAATCCTGTTACCATTGTCCTTGTCCACCAGCAGCTTGAACGCTTCTCTCAGATTCTCTTCGCGGTTCGCCATCCTCATCTTACCGTCGCGCTCCCTGCTGGAGTTGTACTCTTTGTAGATTATGGCCGTGATCATGTTGAGGCCGAAGAACAACACCACCAGGGCAAAGACGGCGTAATACAACATTGCCCAACGGTTGATCTTGAATGCCGGCTGGAACATGTTGGGAGAATTGTTGGTGGTGAGAAAAATCATCAACGTGTACATCGCCTCCCACAGATTGGGAAAAAATATCTCCTTCTCGATCTTCATGGACTCGTCTGTGAACATGATGCAACCGCACCAGGCGAACAGGAACAGAAACAGGAAGAACAGGAAGCATATGGATCCGAAGGCGGGCAAGATCCTGTAGATGACCAGCAGCTGGCCCTGGATCTCCTGCTGCTTCACCGTCAGGATGGCTATCCGGATGTACGGGGCGAGTCGGAACCATGTGACCGGCGTGGCGTAGGCCCACAGGAAGTCCAGGAAGGCCAGGCCCAGCAGCGCGGCGTAGGCCACGTTGAGCTTGTCATCGTACAGCTGCCGCCCGTAGGCCCGCGACATTAGGTAGAGGCTGAAGGACAGGGTGCACAAGAAGAACAGCTCCAGCAGCATGTCCGCCGTGCGCGTCAGGAAGGGGATGTTGAAGACCGGGTACAGGCCGTTGTGCACCCTGCAGGGCTCCTCCCCCGTCTTCTCCTTCATCCGCTCGCACCACACCGGCTCCTCGAAGAAGGTCAGCAGCACGTAGGCCCAGACCACGGCGGTCATAACGTAGGAGACGCGCAGGTGCAGGATGTACCACCACTGCGCCTCCTGCGTCTGCATCGGGTGCACGCGCTTCACACCGTAGAACGCGTCCTCCATGTACCGGCTGGCCCTCTGCACGCGGTGCTTCTGCTCGAAGTATTCCTGCAAAATCGGCCGGCCCTCCGCCATCAGCACGGAGCGCCCGGAGGACGCTGATCCGATCGCGACGGGGCAGCAGCCGAAATCGCCTCCCGCCGCTCACCCCGGTGTGGTCCTCCCCGACGCGCCACGCCGAGCGCGCGTTGCTCGTCTCCGTGGCGACATCGTCGTCCGCGTCGAGCAGCAGCGGCACCGTCTCGGCGGTGGGCGCCATGCTACAGATCCCCGGCCTGCCGGCCACCGGGATGCAGGACAGACAGCGCGGGACCTCCTTGGCCTGCCGCGCGACACTGACGGAAGCCAACGGAAAAGGAACCCTGAACGCGGGAAAAGAAGACCTGGTTGCTGGGCCTGTTGGCGGGCTGGCCAACCTCGAGGGCGCTCCTTTTGGCCTGCGCCCAAGAGGGGTCCTCACAGGGATTACGAAGCGGGGGGCGGTGTGGACGGACGACATGGCGCGGCGCCTCATCGGGTCGCTGGTCACGTGAGAAACGTAATGCGGCCGGGGCGCTGACGCGGACAGCCCTGGGGGACATTGTGGCCGTTGGGGCTTCTTGCGGTGGCCTGGGTGATGGGATACGGGTGGTTAGTGTCGTAGTCACCGTCAGTCATGCTGTACCCGAGTTTGGAGCGGGACGCTTGACAGGAACGTTGTGACTGCCTGGGGTACATAGGGACCCGGGCGCCCCAGAAGGTTGGTGTGGGGAGTCGCTGAGTGTTGGCAAAAAACGCTCAAGCGCGCAGAAAGCGCAGGTGGTTGGTGTCGTGGTCAGCGCCTGTCGTGTTGCACCCGAGTTCAAAGCGGGACACTTGACGGGAATATTGCGAATGACTGGAATACATTGGACCATACGCGCGTCAGCGAATTGCCCTGGACAGCCGCTGTGAGTTTGCCAAAAAGCGCACCAGCGCGCCGAAAGCGCGAGGTGGGCGTTGTTGGGTGTGGACTACATTGAGAACCTTGCCTGACTTGAGCTGCAAGGTGAACGCTGCAAGGCTTCGCTGCAAAGAGCATGTTGCTGAGTCATCGAAGACTAGTGCATGGAGCAAGACTACAGCGTACTCGCTGCCGGAAGCTGTAGCCTTGAAGGACCGTCTGACTGGATTGCCTTGAGAGCCTTGTGAGGTGCCGCTTACTGGATTTTGGTTACCGAAGAACTCTACGAGAGAACCGTAAGCTGGGCCTGCCCCCTTGATGTTGCCGAGATGAATTTGATCATGCACCCTACCTTGAGACGTCAGTTGGAACCGCTTTTTGAGATGTGATATGCCTTTTGGGTGACGCACCACAAGGTGTGACGACTTTGGAGGTGCCTCACCAGAATTGTGATGCCGTTGCGGCAACATGGGTAGCTTGACGTCTTTCGGGGTGCCGCACCATGGTGCTGACGAGTATAGGGGTGTCGATGACCTAGCGTGCCAATAGGTTGTACGTTAGCCAGTGAAACTACTAGGGATGCCGCCCCACGTGATGACAGCACAAGGGTGCAGGAGTCATTTACATTTGCTGAGCAAGCTACCATGATGCGCACCGGAGGGTGAAAGTACTGAGGGTGCCGGCTGCATCCTCAACTTGTTGCCGGCAGTTGCCTTGAGGCAATTGCCCGTTTTCGGCCTGAATCAGCGCTGGTGGACAATCGATGTCCAGCAAAATGGGATCAGGCGAATCGAGTATAGACAGCTGGGGACAGGTCCCGTTCGCCCGTCAGCGGCGAACCTTCCGTCCCAACTTCGACGTCTGCATTTGTCTCTGTTCCCGCTGTCCCGTGCACCCAAAATACAGCCCGAGATTTCCTCTTGGGAATGTTGCGTTGTTCGTTGAGATGCACCAAGGTCCAGAATAACAGGAGAGCGGTGGTCTTGAGTTTAGGACAACTGTCGGCGTTGTCCCCAGAGACACGCCCAGGCAGGCTCAAATAATGACATCACGGCAGCCCACAGCAATGGTGGGGCCCCATTGTGTAGGAAGGCTACCTGCCCAGGAGGTTTAATGAGAATCTGAGTCTGTTTGTTCAAAAAAATTGGTGCAAGATAGTCTTGGGGTGCTTGGTTCAGTGAGAAATGTGGAATGTTGAACAGAGTTGCCTTTCGAGATTTGGACGTTGAAATGAACGTTCTTGCTGATCAAAGTTCAGAATTGCATCAGAACTTCTGACAACAACCGCCCGGTTCCATTCATGGACAGGGATCGATTCATGGCATGCAGCTGGGACCCCAAGAGTGTGTTGAAACTGCATCACCCTGTCTACACACTTTCTAGCAAAGCCTTGCAGGAGCACACTGGGTCGTTCTGCTAGGCAGCATGTCCCTCCACATTAGGCCGCAACTCTATCTGCCTGCTAAAGGCCGTGCTGCACTGTTGGACAGTATGACAACTCTGATTCCCGCTCAAAAGGTGGCAAGCCTTCTGCATTCACTTATTAGCATCATTGATTGGCATTAGGGCTTTGAGTGATACTCACCAGCTGTCAGAAAATGCAAGAGTACATAGCAGCGGCAAGAGTTAAGTCATCGCGAATCCAAGTCCCAACAGCCTGGTCAGACTCAGGGCCAAAGTCAACTAAATTGCGGGACACACAAATATTGGGTTGGGACGTGGGTAATGTTTCCAGCCACGGGCCGATGCTTGCACACAGCCAGGACATGGTACGATCACAATCCTCAGGTGCCACGCAGACCAATTGGCACTTTGCCGGCTTCAGCCTTCCGGACATATTGATAACCCTGTAAAGTCCACGATTCATTTCATTGTGAAACGGACTGACAATGTTTTTTTAATCCAGCCTGGACCGGACACAACCTTTGAGCCATCTGGGCACATTGTATAGTTTCCCGAATGCTAGCACTGTGGCATGAACAATAACCATGTGAAAACCAAAGTGCCACAATCACTGCCTCAAAATAGAAACCAGACCCAAGATGGCCAGAAGGGGCAGTGCCCCACCTTCGCTTCACCGGCAAGCTTTTACTAACACCTTCGAAATGCTAGGTCCCAGGCATATATGGCAACACATTCCAGTACGACTGCCAGGCTGTGCCAACTGACAAGTCGGCTAACTTGCAGAGGACACTCTTGCTTCAACAACAGCAATGCTCATGAAGAAGGGCTATCCAACACTGGTATCGCACCCGCTCATCTTTGAGCATAATCAGCAGCTATGAGATGTACTGCTCACTTTGAGGTCCAAGAGCTGTGTTGTCAGCCAGTGCACAACGCTGACCGCTAAGTGGCCCTGCCATAGTTGGTTGTCGCAAATAGTGCTCTGTCACATGTTTGCAGTTGACATTGGTTGATGGTGGGCATCGTGCCAGAACCCACGCCGAAAACAGACATGGACAAACATGCCTTCCCAGAGACCGACATCCAACAGCTAAGCATTGTTGCAGCCTTTTCATGCTGCACAGAACATCTGGCCCACAAGCCACAGCCATCTGGCCTGGATCACAGGCCTTGAGCTTCTCCCGACTTTCTTCCAGGTTCATTGGAACTCACCCGTGGTCTGAAGAGTCAGCTTCACCATGCAGTCTGGTGTGTCTGAGTCCATGTCGTGAAATCACACTTCGAGCCCAGCTCACAGAGGCTGAGAAATGCTCCAACTCCACACGCTCACTGTCCTTCAGTCCATCACTGGCAAGAAGGTTGTCCCTGACCATCAGGCCCATTGACATAATCGCCTTCCTCGTCAGAGGCGAACCCTGCTCGCGTGCGACCTCAAAGCACTGCATCACCCCCTTCTCGAGTTTGGGCCAGGGCATCTTCCTCACCGTTTTGGTGCTGCCCTTGATGTTCGCCCCTTCCAACCGCCTCACCAGCTGCGGGCCTTCTTTCTTAATCTTTTTCACGCACGTCAAGGAAATACCATAACGCTGAGCAAAGTTGGCGAGAGTCCCCTTCCCCTCGATCAGTGCATTGTACACCTCCACCTTCTTCTCCAAGCTCAGCCTGTTTCTTTTCCTTTGGGACGCAACTGGCGCTTCTTCGTGCCGCTCGCCCGCGCCACCCAGAACACCGCCGGAACTTCCATTCGCGGGAAGCGCTCCCACAGCAGTCGACGCATCAACGGCCAGATCCGCAAATTGCTCCTGTGCTCCAGCGACGGCAGACGCTTGTTGATTCACGCCAGGCTGGCGATCCGCACACTCCGTTGTCCGCCGATCAACCATCTGCTCCTCCGCATCGTAGCCTCGGTCACCGCCCGCGCCCCCGACCCTTCCAGAGCTTTCGTCCCTGGCGCAATCCGGACCATCGCCATCCTCGTCCTTGCAAAAGTCGTCAACTTCACGGAACGCCTCGCTCTGCTGCCACGTGGCCTGGGCGCTCGCTTGCCCGTCCGCAGGCGATCGGCGGGCGTCGCCCATAAGGCCCCCGCCCTCCCGCGGCCGTCCGTCGGCCTCGCGGCACGCCCGGCAGACGCGCCGACAGCAACAATCACGGCCGGACTCCGGCTTTCCGCACGCACAGCGTCCGCATCCCGCCTGCATGGGAGCGCTGCAACCCATGCAGCTCTGCACGTCGGCTTCCTCTTCGGCCCTTTCGCAATGCGCGCAAACCGGGTGTGCCGCCATGGCCCCTACGCGCCCCGCCCCCTCTGCGGCGTGGCCTCTAGCCACACAGCGCCCCAAGCCCAATGGCGACCCCGAGGGCTGCGTCACATAAGGTCGCTAATCAGAAGCCCCCCTTGTCAGGTGGCCTTTTTGGGGCGCCAGCAACTGGGCCTGCTGACGTGCCAGGGGCATATCGATCCTCGTGCCTCGCCACCCGCTGGCCACAGGGCGACTGCGCCAGACACAACTCTGCTGTGCGAAAGCAGCAAGCCACCACGCCCTCCCTTTCCCCACCTGCTGCCTCCAAACTTCTCTTGCTGCCTTCTTTCCAAGCCCTGAGCCGCATGGCTCCCGCCAGCCGTCGCGTGTTGGGCGTGAGCGGCTGCGGACGGGCACCGGCGGTGGCATCGATGGCGGGTTGCCTGGCTTCCCGCAGGCGGGCGCCGCGGCCCTTCCTGTGGCCGGGGAAGGATCCAGCTTCCGTCGGCGGGAGCTGGCGGCGCCCGTCGCGGCCTGCGCTGTGCGCCTCGCCCGGAAACGGCGCCGGGTTGCAGCCGGGTGAGCGGGAGGGGCCCAGCACGGATCCTGCCGTCATCTACAGCAGGCTCCAGAGGGTGAGGCGGGAAAGCGATTTGGGTCTTTCCCTGACAAAAGGCTGTTTCACGATCAGCGGCTGTTGGCATGGGTGGCGGTTGATGCAACGCCAAACCTGTTGCCGTGCTGTTGTGATTTTGCTTTCTGTTGGCGAAATGGTGGGGTGCACTGTGCCGATGATGTCACCCTGGCGGGCCTCTTCTCTGTTCATGGCTCCTTCCTGCCGCCGCTGGGCTTGGCACGCGAAATGGCCCAGAATTTGACATCCTCCCTGGGCATTTCCTTTCACGTGTTCCTGAGGGCCATGTTGTAATGCTGCGCCAGTTGGCACTGCCATATTGGACGAATTCGGCAGAGGCTCGTTGGAAATTGGCGGGTGTCGTTGTTCTGACACTGGCAACAACAGGTGTCAGGTGGGTAGAGTCCCATCACAGTTGATCGTTGGAAACGTCGCAGTCCAAGTTGGGGATGTACCACCAGCATTTGGAGTTAACATTTCCATATTTGGTTTAAGCCATGCCTGGGTCTGAGGCTGCATTAGAAATTAGCTGCCCGGGGCCTGTGGCAAGCAAGGAAGCATCATTGCTTGAATGGTTTGTTGGCGACTTTGTGGCCCCTGTTTTAGCTCCCACAACTTTTGTAGGCCTTCCAGTGCTTTGCTTCAGGTCTCATTCTGCTGTTAGAGAGGACCTTTGGTGCTGGTGCCTCTTGCTCACTTATGTCTGCACATTTGAACACCTAATTGTCCGCCCACAGCCATGCCTAAAGTGTGCAACATGTACACCCATTTGTAGACCCAAAGATTTTAGCATCATAGTTGCCCCTTCACGTTGTATGCGATGGGAGACACCAAGTCGACTTTGCTTCACGTGTCTTACTTTGGTAAACAAGAAATTCAACTTCTGTAGATTTATCCGGAGTATTGTACCCCTAGGCAAGCCCAAACTGTAGCCATCATCTGCGATGACTTTGTTTATTGGTTGGCAATATGTGCAGTCTATTCACGAGAACAGTGTGTTGCAGCCTGCAACGACCTCAATACCTCGAGACAGTTCCAAACTTTCCCATTTTGTTGCTCTGGTGTTGACGTGGAACAGGTGTTGGGGGACAACAGAGGCCACAGGGGATTTCAGCTGTATGCAATTTTGACAGCTTTGGTCTGTTAGTATTGTCTAAGGATGTTCAAGTTTCTGAAGTCTAATACGGAGTTTAAAGGAATTCAACATTACAACCCAAGCCATATATGTTGGTGGGCACTCGTGAAAGTGGAAATAGGCAACGACCCAGTCAGTCAGTCTCCCTACCCTCATAAGCTTTGCACACTGGCAATCCTAACTGATATTCCAATCCAATTTATGTTTATGTACACTTGCCACGGGGTGTTCTGTTTTAAAAGAAGCCTTTGCAGAGTGCATGTGTGCCCATGAGGCAATCTTTGTCCAGCTATCACCTGCTCTGAAGGTCCTCTTTGTGTGTGGTGGTGCATATCGCAGCGTGGCTTTCAATTTCCTTGGCCGTGACTTCTTTAATGCTCTGGCAGAGAAAAATCCAGAAGCCTTTACTCTCCAGCTGTTCAAATACTTGGGTGGCTTTGCTGTTGGAATACCCGTATTTGTGTTCAGCGATTATTTCCAGGTGTGTGTTGTTCTGGCATCTAACCTTCTTGCTACTGCTGAATATGCATTGTTGAAATCCAGGTAACCCTGACCACATCTGGAAGGGTGCTCATCAAATTCATTGCCCCCACAGTGGGCTGCCTTCACGGAAAGTATGCACCAAATGCACAGTACTGAAGAAAACTGCATAAATACTGATTACAATACTGGAGAAATACTGCGGGTGCCAGCCAAATGTTTGCTGCAAATGGCAGCAGTCTCTACCCCCATAATGCGCAACTGTTTGGTGCACTGGATGTGCCCAACAACATTGCTGGAAATACCAACAATCTCAGTGTCAAAGAGGCACATCCTTGAGCTTGAGTACATTTGATCTGTGTATGTATTGCAGCGTGGTGTTCAATTTCATAGGGCGAGACTTTTTCAATGCCTTGGAAGAAAAGGACACAGTGGCCTTCACAGAACAGCTGATTAAGTACCTAGGAGCTTTTGTCGTCGGAATTCCAGTTTTTGTCTTTCGAGGCTACTACAGGGTATGTGTGTGGGCAGCCAAAGCCTGTCTGGATCCTGACATTGGTGATGTTTTGCCTGGGGTATTTCACTGTGCTGAAAACAGCGTCTTTCAATACGTATTGATAGTTCTAATGTGTTGGCGATGTATGGTGTAGCATGTGTTGTTTGGCATCGGATATTATACTTGTATCATGCTGTATCACTACTGAAATACTGCAATAGCTATTTGAACGTCGGGCCGCAAGGACAGCCTTGCAGGTCGCCCTTGACTCCATGGGGATAACTACATCGCTGAGATGGCTGTGAACAGGCAAATTCGGGAAACATGTTTTGTTGCCTTGTTGCTTCTGGTGGGAAAAATGATGACACTTATTCATGTGTCCAGTTGGGACAGAAAAAAATGCAGCTTACAGTGACTACATTCCACACACGTATGGGCCAGCCTTTGTGTATTGATCGCTGCTAACATGCCGATGAGTATCTTGGGACCTCTCTGGGCCAACCCAGATAGGCTGAACACCACAGCAGCAAGTCCACCATATCAGGCGCGATGTTGTGAATGTGCCAGCCATCCCCAACAAAGAGAACAGCCTTGTGTAGACTCATCGCTGGGCGCCATGTTTCCCATGTTTCTCAACAGTCTGTTCAACTTTGGGATGCTCTGATCGGCCACTGGTCGTTGAGGAGCTGAGGTGGGTAAGATTGACATCCGTTGTGTGTGTTGGATAGAGCAAATTGAGCCTGGAGTGGCGAGAGTGGATGACGGAACAATTTCTGTATGACTACATGGCCAAACGCACATTCTACAAGGTGCAGGCCGCTTCGATGATGGATAATCCTGACCAGCGGATCTCCATTGACATCAAGTACAATAGCCGCACAGGCAAATGCTGGATGCACATAGTTTTGTGAACGTTGTTATTCCTGCGATGTGTTTTGTTCTCACTTTGCTGTTGATTTTACTTTGTGGGCTAGATATTTATGGACTGTTTGGGACCTTGCAGGGAAAGCTTGAGGGAAAACAACATTTCACAAGCCGTTGCAGTCATTTTCCATACAGATGCTCTGTGCTCTTCGTCTGTTTAACATAGTTGTTTTCTTTTTGTGAGTTTTCGAGCTTTATCTGCACTTTGGAACATAACTTGAAGATGTCAAACAGCCTTTGTGTGTATCTACTTGTACTTATGTTGTTTATCTTTCTGTGTTTGTCTTCTCATCTGGATGACCTTCGTAGTGTGGCTGAGATCACGACTGTGCATCTGACATGTGTGCAGGGTGTTCACAGAGAGCACATTGGTTTTTGCGTTGACTCTACTGAACGCCCTTGTTGATCTAGTCTCCTTCTCTGGGATACTATTCTCCATTTATCCACCTCTCTTCATTGCGCTCCTTGTCTACTCAGTTGGGGGCACTGCAGTGTCCATAGGTCTTGGACAGGTGAGACCTATCCAAACAAATGAGTGATCGACAACGCTGAGATTTTGCTGTGGATCGTCTGTATCCAGCCTCTGTTGAATGTCCATGTGCTTGGCTGATGGACTGATGGAAGCTTGCAATGGGCACTTTGCCTTCAGGGCTTTTAATTTCATGTTGTCCTTCTGCAACTGCAATGGTGAATGTAGGGGTCTGCACAGTAATATGTTGTTTGATTGATCTGAAAATCAGGACATGGCACGAACTGAACTACTGCTGTGTTCCAGATCGTCGAATAGTGGCCGATTTTGCACATGCATCAAGTGATTGGAATTTTTTTGTTGTTTCAGAGCCTCATTGGGCTAAATTTCCGACAAGAAGCCAGAGAGGCAGACTTGCGATTTGGGCTGGTGAGGATCCGCGAAAATGCAGAGAGCATCGCATTTTACAGTGGCGAGAAGAATGAGGTTGAGCTCGTTCTACAACGCCTGTTCAATGCTGTGAACAACTTCCAGGATCTCTTGGTGTCAAGTCGAAATTTGGACTTCTTTACCTCTTTCTATCGATTCGTTATTCAGTTGCTGCCTGCCGCAGTGGTGGCTCCACTCTTCTTTCAGGTGAGTGTGAAGCTGTCTTCTCTATCCATCGGTTGGTGAAATTGCTTTTTGCATGTAGTTTTGTTTCACTTGCCAAGAGCTGGGCAGCTGGACCAATGCCGCTGCAATGGCTGTAGAAGAACCCTATTGTTGAGGTCTGCCCCATTTGGCTGTGTGTTATTCTCACAGTCATCCTCAAGCTGCTGCTCTTTCAGGCTTACTGTGTTCCCGCGAATGGTTGTCATGGATTTGCTACAAATTGTGATTGCGCACAAGAAACAGTTGATACTGTATTGCATCATTTGGCCAGTATATTTGGTGCAGTCGTAAATAGCTGCAGGGTGCAGCAGGCCATGCCTCCAGGCTAATACGGATGGCCTGCGCTTGAATGTGCAATTAATTGCAAGGGAATATCCACATGTCTTATGTGATGTGGATACTCGTTGTTGAAGATGTACTACCATCAGTGCATGGACAACCTTTCAGAGTACTCTTTACAGTTTTGATGCGCTCAGGACATAGCAGTCCTGGTGTCTTGCTTCTGAATTGTGCTGAATTCAACTTTTCATGTGCATCTGCGATTCACAGGGCAAGATTGAGTTCGGTGTGATCAACCAAAGCCAGTCTGCATTCAACCACATTCTGGGCGATGTGTCCTTGGTGGTTTACCAGGTATATGGCATAGCACGGTGGCCCCAAAAGCGGGCTGTGGATGCACAGGGAAAACGGGTGACAATGCGCCAACAAGGAGCTGCCAAGACCCTTGTATTCCAAACATGAAATCCTTGCAGAGCCAAAAAAGGCAACAACTCAGGGGCAGCACCTTTGATTAGTGAGTATCGAGACAAAGATCAACAACGTTATGGCTACACTAGCACTAGGTTTGCATTCATCATGTCCATTGTGCATGCTGATGGTGCGACTCGGAATGCAGTTGTGCTTGGCATGGTTGTTCTATGAACCTCTTATGCTGGCATTTGCCATCAAGAAGATTATAATCTGCCACAGGGTGCATCCATTATTGTGGTCTGGGAGCAGGGCATGTTTCTCAATACTTTTGAAGTACATTGCAAGTGAGAGGTCCACTGGTCACGAAATTCTGCATGCTATTTCCGTGCACAGGAAAGCGTGAAGCCATCGCAGATAATGAGTGTGGACAGACACAGACACATCCAAACGTTTTCCTGTCCCTCATTCGTTCATGCTCGCTATTGTTGCAAACATTCACCTGTCGATAATATGTCAGACAATGACACAAACTTGGGTCCCTGCACCTAGGACGTGAGACAACAAAGTACTATAGTGTGTTCAACCCTTTAAAATTTTGAAATTTCAGCATTATGAGTTTTGCTACGCATTTTTTCGACAGAACATTGTTGTGGGGGCTCCGCATCGTGGTCACAGCCGACATGGCAACTCTTCTCAGTTCAGATGGCCTCAAATCCCAATTTTCGCCACAGCGACTCATGCGTTTGGGGTTGCTAGACAGCATAAGCAGTCTCGAGATCCTTGCGTCATTTTCTTGGCACAATTACATTGTCCTCATTGCTCCACAGTACAAGGCTAAACATTGCGTTATGTTGCGGAAGGGTAAAACATACAACGGCAGTCACAGAGCAAGGGTGAGCAAAGCATCTGCAGCGTAGCGAAATGGATAAACTGGATTGGATTGTATTGAGTGTGTCAGCCATCGTCTTGAAAGGTGGAACAGCAAGTGTTTGTGACTTGGGAGGATTGTAGTCAAAGACTAGGCACAGCACATTGTGATGTGCAATACCCATCATACTCGCTGTTTCCTGTTCATGCCTTTCACCTGCGTTTCGTCACACACTGTGCAGTACGAGGCACTTGCTGGGTACAGTGCCGTCATAGACCGTCTGGGTGAACTGCAAGAGGCCATGGACTCCTACATCGCTGATGAGCCTGAGGAGGGGAAGGAGGGGAGGTCAAGGATATTGCTGACAGAGGGTAGGACAGGGGTTGATGAACAGCTGCCTCTGCTGGAAATTAGAGACTTGACACTCACCACCCCTGACCAGCAGAAAACACTGGTCAAGGATTTGAGTTTGCAGGTAAGATATTCTTGCCAGTTGCATTCCCAACATGCAACACAGTGCCATGTTCATACAGTGGTGCCCGTACTGTTGTCATTCCATTGCTGCAGTAAGAGCGGCCACTGTATGAATTACTGGTGTGGCATGAATTAGGCGACAAGAAAACATCGGCAAGTACGGTTGGTTACCAGACTGACGATCGAAAACCATGTCTCGATTGGCTTGTCTCGGAGGCAATTGCCAACAGCTTGACTTGTGCAGAATAGCTCCTGACCGATTTATTGTCCTTGTCCCATTCAGTAAGTCCTGACTCTGAAAGTGTGACATCATGGCACCAATGGTCACGCTCCTGCATCATTTTCAAGACAACGAACCTCATGTGCACTGTTGTTTTGGTCTTTTGTATGAATACACCAAGGGCAAGAACTCTGCCAAGGGTATGATTTGCCATTGTGTTTGCAGGTCCACAAGCGAAAGTCGCTGTTCGTCACTGGGCCTAGTGGCGCTGGCAAGACATCCCTGTTGAGAGCGATCGCAGGGCTGTGGACTTATGGCGAGGGTAGCATAGCATTGTGTGGCGAACGGATCGGCGGCTCCTCCCAAGATGGCGATGTCATGTTTGTTCCCCAGCGGCCGTACATGGTGCTGGGCACACTCAGGGACCAGCTCTTATACCCAACGTGGTCCAGCATCGCTGAAGGGAACAACCCTGCTGATGGTGGCACAGACAATGGGTCTGGACATGATGGGAGCAGGCCTGTGCCCAGCGATGATGCCCTGAAGTCTGTTTTGAGCACTGTTTACCTTGGAGAGGTTCTGGAGAAGTGCAAAGAAGGTGCTCCCATTTTTCAATCTTGTATTGTGTCACTAGTAGTGTATTGCAGTGGTGGAAAATTTCTGTGTCCGATTGTTGCTTTGAAATGGAGCAATGTCTTTTTGGATTGGAAATGCCCACTACAGTGTTGTGGAGACCTGCTGTTGTTGTCGATTTATCATGCAACCCATGTGCAAACACATATTCTAAACACACGCTTTGTGCATGCTTCAAGCTGAGAACGAGCTGTGTATGGTGTTGGGATGATGTGCCACCAACACTATAGTGGTAAAGATACACAAACAACATCGCTTCTCCCATTGACATAGTCCGCACAAATGCCTGCAGCTGGCTTTTCATTACCTCTGCTGCCACAACAGAATCTCATGTTGTCCAATTACGACACTATAGAGGGGGAAACCTCACCCACATTGCTTATCCATGGACGCTGACCGATCTGCGCATCAGCGTATGTCAAACTCCAAGAAATGGACAGCCTGGGGTCTCTTGGCCTGCTGTGTATGCCTGTGTTGTTGCAGCGAATTCGATATGTTATATTCATTTCGCATCTGGCTTGCCTCAGTTTTGCGAGGTATCTGCAACCTTGGGAACCTTTGGCATGTCCCAGACAAATCAACTTTGGCCATTCCGCTGAATACTATGTTTAGCTTTTCGAGCATTAGTTTCGTCGACTACAATATCAGGTCTTTGCTAATGTCGTTGCCTGCAGCAATAGAATATTGATCTGATAGCAGGTTCCTCTGGCCTTTCATTTGGTCACTGGTGTTATCGATGTATGGGGTAAACTGGTGGCATAGTTGTGATTAAAGTATGTTTATATATTCAGCGTAGTTGAACAGCACAGTGCGAATGGAGCATTTGTTGTTCATTCACAACTGTTCGTCTCCTTCAGCCTGGTGATTAACTGATGTTTCCTGCCCTGGTTTCGAACCATCAGGCTTTCCGGACAGGGACCCTCTTGATGTGAATGCAGACTGGGCGGCAAGACTGTCCCTGGGGGAACAGCAGCGGCTTGCCTTTGCACGAGTTCTTCTTGCCAATCCCAGGCTTGTACTCATGGATGAGTCAACGAGTGCACTGGATTTTGAAAACCAGAGCCGGTTGTACAAGGTGTGTATAGGTTGCTTCGTTTGCACTCAGCCCAATGTTGCCATTACTTTCGTTCGCCGACAGAGTCAGACGTTCAGCATTGTGGTACCGGTCCCACGTGACCCACATTCACCATCAGGCACATGGGAAGATCTCTCTTGCTTCCTGAGTCTTGTGCGCTAGAGTTCATGAATAGGTGTGAGGGGTATCCGACTTTTACCTTCTGAGGTTAGAGAGAGACAATATAGTATTTTTGCAGTCTTATTGCTGAAGATGTAGGATAACAGTATTTTGACGTTTTTATTTGGGTGCGCTTTTTCTGCACAAGTTGCAATTTCGACAAATGGACTACAGCAGTGATTGCAGGTGTTGCAGAGAATAAGTGCAGCTATGCAAGTGGTCTTTTCGCTCTCACTGTTGCTTTGTCCTTGTTGTTGTTGTTGTGATGCATGTGTGCTTGTCCAAAACTGGCACCAACTTGCGCCTGCACTTGGTGTTGTGATGCATGTGCATATAATCAATGCATATCTTGTGTTAGGATGGTGGCGGCATCTGGACACTGAAACATGATGCAACATTTTGGAATCTAGAAGAAAACGAAAACACAGGCATTGACGCTTGGGCTGTGTGCGGTGCATGTAGGAACTACAGTCCCATGGGATCACGTTTGTGAGTGTTGGCCACCGGCCCAGCCTCAAAGACTTTCATGAATACACTCTGCAACTCATGCCCCCAGACAATGGCCGGTCACCTGGGGCATGGATTCTCCAAAAGTCGACAAGCAACACTGTCTCGTTGTAATGGATTTCTGGAATCCAAATTGGGCCCCATCTGCACGAGTGCCCTGTGCATCGCTGTTTGCTGATCGTGCCTCGTGTTCGCGAGTCTGCTGCCGTGGTCAGTGGCTGCAGCTCTTGAGGTCAACCTTCAGCTGGATGGCCTTTTCAAGGAACGGCCCAAACTCGACTCCCTTGCGATGATGTCTCTTGTTGCATCCATCCTGCATTGCCCTCGCCAATCAGCCCGGAGCCATGCTCAAAGTCACGTGCACACCAGCGAGCCACCCCAGCCCAAACTCGAACTGCCCCAATGTGCGTTGGCCTTGATGTTTATCCAGCAGGATCACGTTTGTCAAGAATTCGACACTTCCATATCCAAGAAGCGATGGAGTGGAGCGGCAACGAAATCAGTGTTTTCTGTTTGCCCCTAGTTCCTCACATATTATTTGTTGCATGTGACCGCCATGGAGATGGATTCTGACCTGGGGTGTAACGTAGCGAAGCAGCTCTTGCCCATAGCTCACGGTGCTGACATTGTCAACCTGAAAGGAAGGGCATGACGCCATCAGGGATAGCGATCGACAGGCTGTTTTGTTTCGCCGCCCATGGCGGTGCTTCTAAAGGAGCCCAGGCGATTGTCCCCTTGCAGAACTCTCATGTCAGCAGCGCTTTTGGTGACTTTTGAAGATGCCCGAATTGTCCAGCAGATACACACTGTTTGAGGCACCGAAAGGGATCCTATGGGTTCCAACAAGTTGGCAAACTTCCGTGGCTCCTGGGCCTCCCACCAACATAGATGAACGGGCTGAATCAAGGTTCGCCTACCTCGTCGGGCACCATTTTCCACGGAGCTCGCAGGGACGTTTTGGCTCGGCACCTGAGCTGCGCAACTGGCACACACAGAGACGAGGATTTTCAAGTGCTGGATAGAATTGAGCAACACTGCAGGTTTCAAATAAACGCTGCACCAAAGCCATGATGGAAAGCAGAATTGGTTTCAGCTTGATTTGCTGCCACGGACGGCATCGTGCCACCTGGTCATTGCTGCTGCAGCTTGCAAGTTTGAAGCTGTCGAGAAGCGCTGCATGTGCAGGCGGGGAGGGAACTGTCAACTCGCAATATATTAACTCCTGCCTGAGGAATTGTAGTCGGTGATGTGCACTATGAGGTATCTGAGGTCCAGGTTTGGTGGTTTAACTGTGACGCGTGGGAATGTCCAAAATTTTGCTCCACTCAGATTGAAGCGGGGATTTCCCTTCTGATGGCCCACAATACATGGCCGCCAACAGCCCATCTGCGAAACGTGAGATTGCCACATTGGCATTCGAACACAAGCACAAACGGTGGCGTGGAAAATGCGCGGCTTGTGTTCAGCGCATGTGTGCTGCGCATCCCATTGAAGGATTGAAGTGGTCTGTCCTCAGAAGCATTTGAGCGATTGTGGCAAATTCTGCAATGTGAACACAAGCGTTTTTTCTTACATCCCGAGTGCATCTTAAAATTTCAGAGCGGGCACCTTTGCCGAGCAATCAACTCGGTCGTCGCTGCCGACCCAGCGACACCAGGGGCATCTTCCATGCATCGCAAACATCCAAGAAAGAATGCTGCAAGTGCAGTCGCATCATCCAGGATTATAGTACCAGCTGCTGTGCGGTTTTCTGGTACAGTGAAAACAAAAGAGAGTCTGCTCCAATCATATTTCTCTCTCACCTCTTCTCTTGTGATCACCCACACCAGCAACTGTGGTTGAATCATACCTGTAATTGATTTCAAAATCTGCTAAAAACTCGCTGGTCCGCTCCCTCGATCTACGGTCACTCCACCCCCCTCCCACCTTGCTCCTCTGTTTGTTCGAGGCTCATAGTAGACGAAGACCGCTTCAGCAACCTGGACCTCTGCTCCCGATTATGATGCATCAGAGTCAACGCCGCCAACTTCCGGTTGAAATGCAGTCAAGGTCAGCGTTGACGAAGGCTGCCTAAGCGTGGAATGCTTGCCAACAATTATCCCGCAAGCATGCTTTAATTTCTTCTTCAACTTTGTTGTGTAATTCACCGTCAGTCATGCTGTCCCTGCATCATCATCACGAATTGTGGCATAGCAATGCAAGCAGTTAGCCGCCAGCTTCCTATGTCTCAACTTCCTGAGTTTTCCATACACTCCATGTGATACGCATCTATTGGCAGTTTGCGGATTGGCTGTGTAACGCTGTGTACATGGCACAACACCATAAACCAGTCCAAGAATTGCAGAGACGCCCACTAAGCGTTGCTAACAAGGAAAAACTGTACGCTGAGAGACTGTAAATGATAAGCGAATTGGTTGAGAATCCGCAATGAAGCGCGACAAGGCTGGAACTCGTTGTGTGTCCAGACCATGATTCCGATGCAGGCAGCGGTCGCAGGTGTTGCGAACACGGTGACATGCTGGGGAACCACTGTGGAGACCCATATGATGATTTTCAACCTAAGAATTTGTGTGGTCATTGGTTATTCCGAATTCAATTGCCTCTCTTGCCTTTCGAGCACTTTTTTCTTGGTCCTGATGGCCTTAGAAAGTGTGCAATTGCATTTGGTCGCGGATGCTGTCAGTTGGTCCATCAGTGGGTGACATTAGGACTGAAGCGCTGGTCCCGACCAGCAGTGTAACTCACTTCCGATCTAGCTTGAATGTTGGGCAGCACGGAAAGTGTCTGACTGCCGAAAGGGATTGTTTTGGTGGAAAGGATCAATGATCGTCATTACTCCAATCACCACAGAACGCATTGTGGCGGTGTTTCTGAGTGGAATTGTGCTGAGTGCTCCCTCTCGGCTTCGGATGTGTGCCTGTGTCCGTAGCATCTACTTTTCAGCAGCAGAAGAACGATTGTGCCGGTGATCCATCCCCTGTGGACGCGACCACCACTAAGTCAATGCAACATTTGTTTGGAAGAATAATGCCGCCCTTCTGCATTTTTGGGCCGAGCCTGCCAAATGCCGCCTTCCCCACAGCCCCACAACGCCTGCGCATACCTTGCAGGCCGATGGCTGGCGGCGATGCCTGGCTTCCTGAAGCAGGTCGTGGGCTGGACGCTGCCCGGCATGTTCGGGAATTTCTCTCCACGCAGGCCGCCGCGGCCCAAGGTCCTCATCCTGACGGGCCCCACAGGCGTCGGCAAGACGGAGCTGGCCCTGGATCTGGCGCAGCGGCTGGGTGGAGAAATCATAAGTGCCGATTCGGTGCAGGTCTACAGAGGCCTCGACGTGGGCTCAGACAAAGTGCGGCGCGGATGCCAGTCTGTTGACATGTGGACATGAACTCACCGTATCTGGCCATCCAACGGTGTAGAGGAACGCTGAGTGTGCGGGACTCCCGGTTGTCTTTTGTCGGATGGGCGGGTAGGGTGTGCGCCCTGTGAGTGGGCATTTGCGGAGCTGAGGAGATCAGGCTGCGGTGGCTTGCAGATCCCCTTCGACAGGCGGCGTGGTATTCGTCACCATTTGATTGACATCCGGGCGCCTGAGGAGGAGTTCTCTGCTGGGCATTTTCACGAGGAGGCCAGGAGGGTGACGGAGGAAATACTTCAGGTTCCGCTCAAAACGTATTTTTTGCTTGGAACACAGTTGTTGAACACACATGTTGAGTGGGCGTTACTACATGTGCAGCACTAAATGGGCAATGGGTCTGAAGCAAGTGCATGGATCTGCTGCAAGGGCTCGCTACAAGTGCTACATCTCTTTGGAACACAGTTGCTGGCAAGTTTAAATCATGCCGCAGCACCCATAAGGGCAGTTTGCGCATCTGTGGCGCACTGTCCTAAGCTGCTCATGTGAAGTCAAGCCTTCAGAGCTAGTCCAATCACTATTGAGCGCCATTACTTGTGTTGTGCACGCTGCAGAATCCGCTCATGGTGCCCTTTCTAATCCAGCGCACACTGGCCCAAGGGTAGAAGATAACACAATAGTGCAGTTGTCTTCCGTCAGTTGAATTGCAGTTCATTAATGCGATCACTGTTGTGCATCTGCAATGCAGCGAGGCAAAACACCTATTGTTGCTGGCGGAACAGGTTTCTACCTCAAATTTTACGTCCATGGAAAGTCCAGTAATCCTGCCTCAGATCCGGACGCCTTAGCAAGAGCAAAGGAGTCCCTGGAACATGTGAGTGGTGTCCGTGAAAGTGTGCATGCTCACTCGATGTGTATGCAAAGTGCCTGGTGTCCTGGCGTGCAAGGTCCCAATCTTTGCACCTGCTTTTGCTTGTTTGTGTATCATATTTCATGTACTTGGAACGTGGTGCATCGTAAATGGATTGGGACAAGAAACCATGAGTGTTGCATTGATTGCGTTGCATTGCCCTGTAATACAAGCACTTGAGGAGAATGGGCAACATGTTGTCTTTCAGGTTGATGTATTCAGCACACTTGAGAGAAGGGCGACAATGCTGTGCAGATGCTGAAACCCTCTGTTTCTGGGACATTGAAAGACTGTGTGCAATTGTTGCCAGCGTTTGTATGCTGTTCCGTTTCAAAGAAAATATTCTGGAAATTGATAGTTTAGGATTGTTCGTAATATGCAGCAAAATTATCCAAAGTTGCTTTCCAGCATTTTCTGTAAAGACCTGTCAAGCAACATCATCTGCAGCTTTTCGTCTGGTCTTTGCTTCAAATGCTATCACAGCAGATTTGAATTCTCTGGCAGGCGTGGTCTGTTGCTGAAGGCAGAAGTGGCACAGTCCTTACAGAAGAACAAAAATGGGAGGAGGCTATTGCAGTGCTGGCTGATGCAGGCGATGTTGTTGCTGCTGAAAGGTGTGTTGCTTTGACCTGCTACCATGCTCTCCTGCTGCACAAGTAGCAGCAATCCTTGGTGGGCAGTAGCTAGGTCAGAGAATGAAGGCTCAGCCCGCGCCTCAGACTTGTGGATGCCTTGGCAAGCCTGCATCCAACTGCAAAACCAGACACTTGTGTAATTGTGGCTGTTCATTCATTTGCACACATTAAATTTCGAATAGAGGAATCTACATTTTTTGGATGGATTTTGAAAATATCTGTCCTAATACGGCTGTGGTGTGTGCTCCTCTGGAATTAACAGGATCCGTGGAGAGCCCAACAACTATTACCGTCTTCTGCGATCTCTACAAGTCGTTCAGAAAACAGGTGCAGCTATGAACACAGTCTATAATGACAGTCCGTTGGACTACGACTTTCGCTGCTTCTTTCTGCACCGGCCAAGACTTCAGCTTTTTGAGAGGGTCGGGAGGAGGTGCGAGGAAATGGTGGGCGCGTGTTGACATGCTCATGACCCCAATAAACCACACTGCTGCTGTTCCTGCAACAGGTGGAATAGGGCAGTCGTCATTGCATTTTTCCTGTTGCATTAGCGACTTCTGTATCATGGTACGTGGCGTTAAGAGAGGTTCAGAGCCTTGATCTATTATTCTGTTTCACCACAAGTGTCCTGCATGTGGCCTATAACTATCGTGTACACTGGACTTTGCGCTGTGCTATATGCACTGTTCTCTGGTCATTTTCATGTGGCATCTAAGTTTGCAGTGAAACATGGTCAGGTTGTTGCTGGCGTGCTACGGGAGGCCAAAATGCTGCTTGACCTAGGACTTCAGCCAGGGGAAAGCAGCGCAACAAGGGCCATTGGATACAGGGTGTCCATGGAGTTTCTGAAGGTGTGGTGGCAGCACATTGGGATGATTGGAGCATGCACATACCCAGAGTTCCGTGTGTATCCACAACGTCCATATAAGTACAGGAAAAGTGGCTTCCATGAAGTTTTATTTCAGAAGATATTGCCCCACTGTGCAGCAGACTGCACTGTGGATGATCTGCAGAAATACAGTGCAAATGTTTGTTTGCACATTTGCTTCATCGTTTTCAGTTCCTGTTTCTTTGTCAACACTCAAGAGGCCATGCCCAAGCTAGGTTAGAACCCAAATATATGGGATAGTGTTCTGCAAGTCCTATTTGTCATCGCAGTGCCCCATGAATTGACCAATGCAATTGTGCTGGAAGGGAACTAGTATCCATTTTTTGGTGAATATGCTGAAATTGAGCCCATTAGGATGCAGTTTGTTTCCTGAAAAGGAAGCTGGCATCATGGCGATGTGCGCATACTTAAAAACTGTTATGCAAAGAGCATTTCAGCTGCCAGTGCCTTGCACCTGGGAGAACGTGGAGTGCTGGGATAGGCATCAAGTGTACAGTGGCACACCTTTTGGCACGCTAATACCTGTACCAGGGATTGAAGCTGGGCAAGGCATGTGCTCTTTTTGTGGTTGAGGGGCTACAAACCACTGAGCATTCTATAGAAATTAAGACATTGGGAAATTGAATTTCGGGTCTGTCATTTCACACCGTCTGCAATGGTAGATGTGACATTGTGCTGGGGTCTTGTCACAAACATTTCCACCAGGCGTGCTTATGGAGTTTATTCATCTGTGTTATACATACCGTTAGTCTGAATGCAACATGTGGCCGGACTTTCAGTTCCTCAGTGTTTAAATGTGAGGAGTGTCACCACAGATCGCTACCAGCCTCAAGACATGCAGCATGGCTGCTGTGAAACCACGAGTTCCTGAGAGTGGACGATTTGGTGTTTGTATCATGTTCAGTGTGGCGTGCAATGCCCCCACCTGTTGTGTCTCTACATCCATAATACGGCCTGCACATGGGCCTGTCTATGTGCACACTTCACCGCCGCTCTGAAGTCATTGTGACCAGGTGCTGAGCCCTGGCAGTCCACCAACCTGCCCAACATTGCGTGGATGCCTTAGCCTGCCTGCTCACATGCTTGGCCTGCTCATGCAGCTCGCTGCAGAGGGGGAAGGGGGTGGGTAGGGGGGGTGGGGGGGGACGCAATGTGACTTTGCAAGTCGAAACACCATGTATAGCAGCATATGATTGTTATGTGCACACAATATATAGGGCATGCATGCCTTTTGCTGTATTGTCATCGTTTGTCATTCGTAGATATGGTGTGAATCATGCCGACTTGCTTGCATCATCTTTGCAGCATGTCCTTGAAAATGTACAAGACTTGAGTGATGAGAGCCTCCGGCAGTACATCCTCGACTTCCAAAGTGCCACGCGGACCCTCATCAAACAGCAGATGACATGGTTTCGGAAAGATGAGATGTACAGATGGGTCGATCTTACAGACCACAGCATCGATCCAGTCCAATACATACTTGAAGAGTTCAACAAGAGCATGCATTCAGGTAACTCTGCTGATGGTGTGCCTGTGGTGAGCTGCTTTTGATTAGAGGCACCAATTTGGAGCGACTGTCAAAGTCGTGGGTCATTGTCACGGCTGCAGCCATGATGCCCCTGCTGATTGTCCAAGAACGTCGTTTGCAATCAGGTTGAGATTCTGTGTCGGCAAGCAACCCTCGCTGAGCCACACGTCAACATGGAATTGCGGTCTGCTCACACTGGAGTTGCAACTGTGGGCTTCAGGCGAATGTCCTATGCAACGCTGGGAACTTAACCGGTCTGTGGTTCATGTGCTTGTGAAGGTGGAAGTGGGACGCTAGCCCATTTATCTAAGGACGAATCCGATCAGATCAAGCGCTTCATGCCGAAGCTGCAAGTGCTTTCGACCCCTGAGGACAGAAGTCCAACTTTGGAATGGCTTCGCAGCGTTTCTCAATAGCCCTAGGCCAGTTGACATCAGCATCGAGTGCAGCACTATGAAGAGAGATAGCTGTTGCACACTGTGCCAGGCAGGGCGTTCTCTGTGGCGCCGGACGCCTAAAGTGCTATTGCTAGTCAAGAGCAGATTTATATTGAGAATGAAAACTACTGTGTGTTATCTATGATATAGGGCAGGCTTGGGGTACAGGGCACGAGGCACTGCTCTGTCGCCTAGCAGCTTGTATCTGGCTCTGAACGTAGATTAGTACATCCGATTCTGAAATTTTGGATGATGTGCAACAGGGTAAAACGAGAGTCTGCGTCTGCATTGTCCATACTCAATGCGATTGGGCAACAAATTGTATTCCTTTATTTGCATTGCAAAGATCGATGCCAAGACATGGCATGACCCTTCGGGGCATACGCACTGGAAATCGACATGGGCGAGATTCGTCAGTCGGAACTAGTTACTCAAACACCCGAAAAACCGGAGGTTTGGTTTCACCCACTCAGGGGATCAACCCGCCCGACCTTCAGGTCCCACTCTCGACTCGCGAGGCGGCCTGCTTGGTACACCGATCGTAAGCAACCGTTTCTTACAGACCGGGGGCAGCTACAATGCGCACCCTTGCCACTTTATACATGACCCTGACCAGTTTCATACGACAATTGCAAAGGTCCACCAAAAGATCCACGTTGGGATCCATATCTCCCCACAACCACACATCTGGATACCCCTTACAACTTGACCTCTGCACCGCCCCACTAGTCATCTCATCAAACCCCTCTGATCCCCCTTTCCTTCACCACGCCAGTTCACCCACATCACTTTTCTGCCCGTCCGCATACTCTCAGGACATCCCCTTGATTTCATATACGGTCCAGTCAATACTTACATGTCACATAAAAAATATTCTAACCTGCGCCCGCACCATGCGCCATGCGCTACCCAATTCACCCATGCGTCTCAGCTGGTGGCATCTCCTCACCCTCAAAGTCAGGCCTGGGCTTGCGTCCCTGAAGCCACCCCTGGATCTCCGCCCGGACGGCATCAAACCTCCACTTCGCTTGGATGGCCATATCACGCGCATGCCACTCCGCAATAGCCCTTCTCAGAGAAGGCGGCCGCAAATCCCGCCTGGGAGGGGTCGGCAGCAAATGTATCAGGAACGCCCTGTCCGCTTCCAACACCCTCACTGGCCCGTCCTCACTGAATGCCTCCTCCAGAGACTGCACCTTCAGCCGCTGGTAGAAAAAATCATCGATCACCTTCAACCTGGCTGCCCGGATGTCATCCTCAATTACCGCCATGGCCCTCCAAATCATTGGCTTGTTGTCCAGCATGCGCAGCTGCGACAACTCGTTGTCCCGCCTGGCCGCATCCCACGCTGGCTTGAGACCCATGTAGCACATGGTCTCAAACTGCATGACGATTTCGGTCCTGACAGCAGGGGCCAGATTCTGCATGTCCAGCGACAGCTAGAAGCCCATCCCAGCGTGTTGCACCGTATCGTAGATATGGTGGTCGTCCGCCAAGGATTCTTCCCAGACCTCCATCAAAGCACATTGCAAATCACGTGCCCGCCTCCACAATTTGTCCTCCTGTGGCTCTCCGCTGGAACCGGACGCCTGACCGCCCGGCATCGCGAGAGCCGCATGGCCTGGAACTGCTCCAGCTGGCCACAGAAGTCCTTGACTTAATCAGCCCCGGAAGAGACTGTGCGTGGCGCCACTCCAGGATCTTGTCAACGCGGGAGCTGCTCTGGGCACCGGCCATCCTTGCTCAGCTCACAGGCAACACGGAGGGCTTCTGCGTGCGCACACCGCGATATCCACATGGACTCCATGCATGCGCGCCTCAACATCCCATCCGCAGCCCCCTGACTGGTCATCAATCAAATCAGTCCTTTCTCAGGCGTATCGGATAGCCTGGTTCCCTGTGGCCCCTTAATCCCAAGCTGAAAATCCCGCTAAAACACTCAATTCTTTGTCAAACGAAAAACTGAAAACACCGTTCGATTGCAAATCAAATTTCTGATCGAATGATACCTTTTCTACCCCATAATGACCCTTACCCTATAATGACCGTCCAGAAGGCGTGCATACCAACTGGTCCTTTTCCGTGTGGCTCATGGTGCAGTAACATACAAGCCAAATTGATGGCGCCCGATTCTGCCCGATCCTGCCAGCGATATCCTGATATCTTATCACACCGCACCCGCACCAAGTCCCCCATTGACTCAACCCCAGGGACCATCCATCAAGCCACGGAGCTAGCCTATCCCGCTACCTCCGTGCAGCCCCACCCAGGGCTCCGGGCCGATGCGTTTCCCCCACGGGGGCTCCGCTGCAAACCTCCTCCAGTGAGATCAGCGTGGAGCCCCTCCTCCGTAATCCCACTGGCTCATATTGACGCGCTTGGCCTTACACGCTGCCCATGCCCACCCCGACCGTCGAGACCCAGCGGCTCGGGTCCAAGGCGTTCGAGTCAGGGGCACTGGAATGACAAGCCCCCCGCCCAAAAACTTTATGGGCAGACTGAAAGGCCTTGGGGATGCGGCGGTTTTCTACCGGCGGAAGAGGGCCATCCCTGTATGGATGCAATCAGCCACCGTGCGGTTGAACCCCTCCGTCGCCAGCCCATGGATGCTTACGGAGCCGCCCGATGCAGCAATGGGCTTTGCTTCGGTTTCTCACCATAGGGTCCTCCCCTGTTTGTCCCTGATTGAGTTGTGTGGGTCGTCTGCCGGCGGGCCTGCACTGCGTGACTTTGTGGGGGCCAGCCGCCCTCCGGGGAGGCACGGAGCCCCGACGGCCCGTGTGGCTTCGGATGTGCTTCCCTGACTGCGTTGCTTAGCTGGACGGGTTACGAGAGTGTATCACTCAGGTTGTCATTGAACCTGGGTCCTGTCGCTGTAGCCTGGGCTATCGATACTGCCTCAGTAGCCCCCTTGCCCATACGATTCCTCCCTGACTGGCTATGGCTCCCCCGTACTGGAGTCCCAAGCCGCAGAACTCTGGGCCTCACGGGGCACCAGCTTGTCACAATTGGGTGGCGCATTATGGAGCCATAATGGGCTTATTATTGGTAACTCGAGCAGCATACAGTGCTGAAATTCTATTATGACGTCTGCCGAATCCAAAATAAAGCACTCCAGGCAACAAACCGCAGTTGCCCTCCTCCCACATATATTCAGGAGCTCGTTCACAAGCGACATGTCACCAGCCCGTTTTGGTGCATCGCTTGAAAATAGTGCGAGGAGACAAGTCCAAATTCAGTTTCCCTGCTCCGTAG